AAGATAAAAAAACCCAAAAACAAAAAAAAAAAAACTATCAAAGAGCTATCAATTAAAATTTAAAACCTTTAAATGGTGTTCAAACCATGCTACTCCAAAGTCCAAACCATCATTTCCACTGTCCCCCATGAAAACCCATTTCATGAGGCTCCCTCCTCCTCTCCTCCTCTTCATCCTCGTCGCCGCGGCAATCCCAACTCTGTCATCAGCCGCCTGCCACCCGGATGATGAAGCTGGCCTCTTGGGCTTCAAGTCTGGTATAACCCGAGACCCATCTGGCCTGCTTAAGTCATGGAGGCCAGGTACGGATTGCTGCACTTGGGACGGCATTACTTGTTTCAACAACAGGGTTTCGACCATTTGGCTTCAAGCTAACCAGCCCAACATCTCCTTATCCGGCACAATCTCGCCGGCCCTCTCAAAAGTCCGAAATCTCGGCGGTATTTATCTCATAAATCTCAGAAATATCTCAGGTGGATTCCCAGATCTTTTATTCGGACTGCGCAATCTCAAGTATGTTTACATTGAGAACAATAAGCTCTCGGGTCGGTTACCACAAACCATCGGTAAGCTCAAGCAACTCGAGGCACTGAGTTTCACTGGAAACCGCTTCACCGGACTGATTCCTAGTTCGATCTCTGCACTGACTGGTTTGACTCAGCTCAAACTCGGTCAGAATTTTCTGACCGGCACAGTGCCGGTTGGAATTGGGCAACTTAAGAACCTGACGTTCCTGGATTTGAGTCAGAACCGGCTATCGGGTACCATACCGGAAATTTTCAGATCACTAACCAATCTCATAATTCTCAGACTTTCTCGTAATAATTTCTCCGGCCAAATTCCAGCCTCGATATCTTTCCTATCGTCCAAACTGCAGTACCTTGAGTTGGGCCATAATGCTCTGAGCAGAGAAATCCCAGGTTTCCTGGGGAAGTTCAAGGCATTAGACACTTTAGATCTTTCCTGGAATCAATTTGCCGGAACTGTACCGAAGAGTTTCGGAAACCTGACCAAAATTTTCAACCTCGATCTCTCCCACAATTTCCTCACCGACCCATTTCCCGAAATGAACGTCAAAGGCATAGAATCACTAGATTTATCGCACAATGGATTCCATCTCAAGGAAATTCCCAAATGGGTCACTTCATCTCCAATCATTTACTCCCTCAAGCTAGCAAGATGTGGGCTTCAATTCAACTTGGATGACTGGAAGCCGGCGGAAACTTACTTCTACGACTACATCGATCTATCCGGTAACCAAATCTCCGGTAGTCCGGTGAGCTTGCTGAATCGAACGGATTACTTGGTGGGGTTTTGGGCAGCGAGTAATAAGTTGCAGTTCAATTTGGTGAGGTTGAGAATTGTGAAGACTTTGAAAGATCTGAATTTGTCGCACAATTTGATTACTGGAAAGGTGCCGAAGGGGATTGCTGGGTTGGAAAAACTGAACGTGAGCTATAATCATTTGTGTGGGCAGCTTCCGGCCAGCAAATTTCCGGCGAGTGCATTCGCCGGAAACGACTGCCTCTGTGGCTCTCCGTTGCCACCCTGCAAAATGTAATGGAAAACAATATGTACCTAGTTGTTTCTGCTTGCTTTCAATTGTAATTTTTCCTCCTGTAATCCGTGTAAGATGAATGACAAGGGAAAGGTAATAATTGAATAATGTCCTTTAATGCTTAGTTGAATTTTTCTTGTAACCGTGGGATAAAGCAATAATTTTCTCCTGTATTGTTTTTTCTTAAAAAATTTTTGTGTAATGATAATTTATTATGAGTTTGATGTTTTACTGTTTGTATTGTGTTACACTAAGATAAAAATTATATGGAATAGGAGAAGAAGTTTTTGACATTAGGTAACACACTCATTTTTGTCGGAGTAGCAAATGCAGATGCTGTTGTTTTCTTGATTTTGTGTATGAAAAGAACAATTTATGCAATGGAGTAAGAACATATTGTGCATCACAGGTGATACATATTATTACATTTACACGCAAGAATGGAAACTTGGAGCATAATCCTTGCCTCTTTCTTTTTGCCTATTATATATAATTTAATATGGGCGTTTCTGATATTATTTGTTTGTTTGAAATACTAGGTAGGGGATAGCAGACAAGATTTAAAGACAAGAGGCAGTAGCTATCCTGGTTTGCATTGACCTTCTAGGTATTTACAGCAATACAAGTGGCCAGTGGACTACTTTTGTTGCCATGATAGATTGGACTAGTTATTGAGTTCTAGATTTCTTCCCAGCAAGCTTTTGGTAATGTTTGCTGTATTGGTTTGTCTGTTTTTCCAGGGTGGAAGTGAAATCCCTTGAACCCTAGGATTGGAAACTTCTAAATTGCTAATCAATTGACATGACAGTGGAAACAAAAGGAAACAAACCCCTTGTGGGGTAAAAAAACAAATTCAATGTTTAAGGTTTATTTCGGCCATCATTTCATGGTTTCATGGAGATATATTGCCTGCTGAGTGAGAATCTAATTTGTTCATTCTTACCTGAATCCTGATCTCTAATGTTTATCTTAGTGTTTTTTTCTGCAGAAATGTTCACTTTGATTAATCCATTTTGTTTTGTGGAGGCAATGGAAACGCAAATCACTAATGATAACTCAGCTCGACCACAGTTGATGAGGATTCATCTGTTCAGATTAAAGTCCTGTTCTTTGCCAGGGCACGTGATATAACTGGATTGGCTGATCAGGTAGTACTACTCAAGACTGTCTGAACAAGCTTGTTGCTAAGTTTCCTAACTTGGAAGACATCCATGGGTGCATGGTTCTTGCTCTGAATGAGGAATATACTACTGAGTCTACCATTGTTAAAGACAAAGATGAGTGGGCCATTATGCCTCCCATGAGTGGTGGCTGAACATTTCTTCATACTTGTTTTTATGAAAAATCAAAGAAGAAAATACTTCTTGTTCATTGATTTGGTCTAGGATAGATTTTTCAGTGAAACCAAATTTTATTTGTATTGAAGAATAAAGTTATACTAAAATGGTAAAGCTTATGGAATAATTATTTCAAGTGTAGAAAAAAGAAGTGGCTGCTATTGTGAGCATTTGAGGAATTCCCATCTCCGTCTTCGTCAATCACATTGTTCCCGATCCTTACACGCTGAGAATTTGCAAAAACGATTGTATCTCTTTTTTTTCTTTGTTCGTACTTTCTTCTTCTTTAAATGGCAATTGTTGCTGCAATTGCGTGGCTTATTGTGTATGCAGGATGAGACACTTTAAAAGATTATGTTGCAATAGATATTTGATGTTTCATGTCTTGTTGGGGGACAGATTTTCAAGATGATTGCTTTTCAAGCGTGGTCATGGAATCTTGACATCTGTGTTGCGTCTGGTATGCTTGACGTTAATGGTGACAAAAGGAGTAAGTTTTTTTGATGAAAACTTACTAATGGTGTTTTCATTTCTTTCATTGGTAGATAAAAATCGAAGGAAGATCTGGGTATTGATATATGTCTTGGCTACTGCTGCTGTTCTTGTTCCTGCCCCCCTCATTGAGTTTTGATACTACACCATACCCTTCTACTTTTTGATGCCGTATTCCCATGTTGATAGCTATCTGAGTTTACTACCCTTAGGAATTCTATATACAGTCCTTAATGTCTTCACGATGAGCCTAGTCTTGTACCGGAATTTTCATTGGGACCGTGAGCCTGGAGTCCAAAGGTTTATATATACGGTAGATAGGAAATCCATAATGTTAGCTCACAGTTTTGTATTTAGGATGATGGAACAGAGATGCTCGATTCTTCACCGAATAAATCAGTGGGATGCAGTAATAATTTCAATTAGGCAATAATTTTATCTAGACTTTTTGATTCTGATTCTGCCTGACTTAAAAATTCACACTAGTGAAACAAGGCCATCTATCAATGTCTATCACCCATCCATACTGAATGCACTGGTTAGTGTGATAGCTGAAGCTCTCTGTATCACTTAAATTTGCAACTACTTAGCTGCCATGTCATATGTAAATGTCATACTCCGTGATTTTATCATTGTTCAGCCTGTGATTGTGATGACTGAGGCTTGCTTAGATGTTTGCATACATGAGTTCTTACTTCTTACTGGCATGATTCTCAGTACGCTTCAATTTACTGCTTTTTTCCATGAGTTTATACTTGTCAAGAGATGTCTTTACCCTTTAGCTTGAAAATTCGTTATGCATGCCAGTAAGAATGCAACATTTTTAGACAGAGAGAATCATGTTTAGAATGATATTTTGGTTGAAAGCCAAGTCAAAAATATGATTCGGTTCGCAGTTGGCACTAGTGCTGTATCTTACACTAGCAGCCGCTCCTTATTCTCTCCTTTCTTTTCCTCTCCCATCTCCAAGTCAATGAAAATGAAGTTGGCTTTCGATTCTTGGGTGGAATTAGAATATGTACACTTCTATGGTTTTCAGAATGGATTTCCATTTGGATGACTCTGTTTCCGGAGAATATCTGAACGGTCATGGATAAAGGACCTGTCCTCAACAGAACAGAATGGAAGATTAGTCCTGGAAAATATCAAAATAGCTATCAGACTTCAAAATTCCATTATTCGACCCATTTGAGGTTTCTGTTTTCCTAACTGAAGTCAATGTACATTTTCACAACCATTCAAAGTCAAGGAAAGCTGTTTCTAGCAGGTTAATACCACAATTTTCTCTAAACCCATTCACATATATATATATATACATATTTTTTTCCTTTTTTTTTTCTTCTCTCACTTATCATCTAAGGTATCTCTAGTCAATTTTTGCACATTAATCTTTTCTTCTGTAATTCCAACCCTTGGAGCTATACAAACTGGCCTGTTTGGTGTGTTTTGTGGGAGTTTTAGCTTTTTTAGTACTGTTATGAGTGATAAGTTTAAATTTTTATTGGAGGAAAAATAGAGTTTTAACTTTTAGAAATGTGAAAAAGTGAGTAAAAAAGGAGTTTATGAAAAGTTTAGATTTGAAACTTTTGAACTTTTATTGTTTAAGAGCTTTTTGAGGTTAAAAAAATATTTAAAAGTGTAAGTTTTTAAGAAAGAAATTTAAATGCATGAAACATGAATAGTGTCTAAAAGCTGAAGCTCCCACAATCTGCACCAAACAGGCCCTTAATAACCATTATGTTTCCAACAATGGCCAAAGACAACGACAACTTAGAAATCAAAAACTGAACCAAGTTCGCTTTGAAAATTAATTGCTGTGTCACGAGATGACCTAAACCACTATCAACCGTCAAAAAATCAACCTAGACGATGCATCTGAACCTAAGCATTCATGTATGCAAATCCATTAATTATAAACATACCAGCTTCCCTCCTATCGTTTTCTTAAAAATCAAATAAAACCTGAAGTTAATACATTAATTAACTCGAAAACACGATGTTTTAGGATTTCAACCTGTTTTTTAATAGTAAACTTATCAACTTTTATTTTGTCATTTTCCAATAAATCATATAAAACACAAAGCTATACATGATAACATTAACTTGAAAACAAGATCTTTCAAGATTTTAACTTGTCTTTTTACTGTAAAAAAGTCCGAGCTGTTTATTATTCAAAGACAATGATAAACAAAAACACGGTATCGAATGCCATCATTACCAATTTGCACACTCGTTCCGGGCATTTTATATGAATTGGATTTCTAGAAGATATTATAAACATGGAAAGTACTCCACCATTGGGAGTATTGTATGTACTTAAATAAATGGAACTTAACATGCGTAACTATGCAATGACGCACTAAGCACTGGTTAGACATGTTAAGTGGAGACCCCACATTAGGGATCCTTAAACAAATCTATGGATTTTTTTTTTTTTTTAAAAAAAAAAAAAAAAAGAAGAAGAAAAAACACCAACAACAACAACAAATCTATGGATGATCGATAATGGAGGCCAGGGTTTCTGTTCGGATAAGAAGGAGGTGATGACAATGGAACGTGTTTGGGATTCTAGAAGATGACAGAAGAGCAGCAGATTGAAGAGCCATGTATACTAGATTTGGTGTGAAAGTAGATGCAAAGATTATTTCATCTTCCTTTTTTCTTTGATTAACAATTGTACACCGTTGGGTTTCTCCATACAAAATTTCTAATATTCCATCCACCCATCATTTCCATACTAAAGAACACTGAGATTCTTTAGTTTTCTGATTTTCTCTGACATTGATGCTCATAAAAATTATAGATGAGGAAGATTCCAATCCCCCGGATGAGCTTTCACACTTGGTGAATTCAACTCTAAAATAAGTGTATAATCACGGTGAATTAATAATAATAAAATTAAAAAATTACATTTTATAATTTAAATTGTATCATATTACAAACATGAATTATTAAATAAAAGAAGATTTTAATTTTAAAAAAACTAATCACATTTAATAATTAATCTAAATTGCATGACATTTTTTTTAAGAACAAATATATCAAAAGATAAGAAGGGGGAAGCATTTGTAAAACTTACTCAGTGGCTTTGACTTCAACGTATGAAATTCAATTTATGAGTATAAGAAATTAATCGTGGAAAATTCAAAAAATAAAAAAAAAAAACTCAAAGAACAAAACTTTTTTCTATTTTCTATTAGATTATATCATTGTTTACAGATGATCGCCAAATTCTTCCTTCTAAAGAAATAATGATGACAGAAACATCGTCATGGTACCGCCGGCGTTCCCCTTGCGGGATATCAAGTAATTCATGGAAGTCTATTCCTGCCAAAAAAAGGGGGTTCATTAGATTTCAATTTGTTTCCCCATTACTCATATTCTATAATTCCCGCTCCGACAAAGATTGAAGACCTTACCGGCTTTCTTAGCTGCTCGGAAAAGTACTTCTTCGATTAAATGCTGCGCGGGATCTCCCTCGGGGAAGAAAGCAAGAAAGGATTCAACTTCGGCCACTGCTTCCTCATTGGTGAAGTACTGGTAAAGTCCGTCGGAAGAGAGAATCAAGTATCTGTCTTTAGGGCTTAATTTGTAGTGGTAGAGTGAAGGAGAACAGGTGATATATGGAGAATTTCCGACGTAATTGATTCTGAACATCTCTAACACTGCATCATTCAACTCTGGCTGTCCAAAAATCAGAGGAATTCTTGTAACAACAGGGAAATGAACAATGCTGGAGTTCCTTTCTTGATTTAGAAACTTCAGCTATGCAACTACGGTCGGGAATCAATATTACCTGTTTGAGAAAACCGGCCCCGAATGCTCGGGTGACCTTCAGATAACCTTTGACCCTGTCATTGACTACTGCACAATCATCATCTGGATGTTCCTGTCTAATTCTCTCCACCTCCTGA